ATAGGGCTAGTGGAAGATGCGAGGATCATATTCAATAGCTGCCAATGAACAGCTCAACATTTTTATCGTGAAGGAAACCTATGCGCGGATGCTCTAGCAAAATTGGGCGCTGCCCAACCAGAAGACATATTAGTTGTTAATGATCCCCCCAACTGAGATTAATGAGTTGTTAGTGGCTGACATGATTGGGATAGTTAAGGAGAGGGCTTAGTCCCATGTTTTTTGCTTTATTTCCAATACATCAAAAAAAAAAGAAGTGAATCTTCCATTGTTGAAACAGTGAGTATATTTTTATTTCCAAAGTTGTCACCCAGTCAACTCATCAAAGAATCGTTCAAAGAAGAATCAAACCGAACTCAATCTAATTATTTCACAAATGTTCTACACATAAAAATCTAAAAAATGTCCTGTTCAAATCATTAAAATGAACCTCACAACAGGTCTTATGTCCGTAAGACTGGTCAACTCAAGACAATCCAATCACAAAGAAGAAAATTAAAGGAAATAAACTAATCATATCATTTCCCAAAAAATATAGAATAAATCAGAGGCCATTCTCGGAGTCATTTAAAACTAGAGCCAAATGAACGAATCAAATCATTAATTTGCATAAATGAGAACAAGCTCTTACTGGATAAGCTTAGGGGTTTGAATTCCTAATATAAAACAATAATGCTATAGACACATAAGATTTTCACAGAATGAGACACATGTGAGATAAAGAGTGTTCCCACTCACATCTCTCTCTGTCTCATTCTATGCACTTAGATTTACTAGATATAAAATGGGCAAAATTTACAGAGCTAGTAGTGAAAGAGAGCTTTTGCTTCATAGCGAATACTCTCTATTTGTAAGTATACAAATTAAGTACAACATTATATGCAGTTGATCTTACACAAGTGAACTTTTCTGTACCATAAACAAATTTTCTCTTTACTAACTGTACTCAGGATCCTAAAAAACAGTTGAGTTCATATCTCTAACTGTAAAAATATAAGGTAGCAAAATATGTTATTTATAGAGGCCGCAAGAGCGGGTAATCCTCAAGCAATTCGCGCTCCGACAAAGTGTCATTTTCGTTCTGAGGAGTCCACAACACCTCCACAGCCTGCACGTAAATGAATCTGAATTAAACGAGGAGGAAGAAGCACAGTTGTATTTTCGTTTTCTGTTTTCATTTTTCAGAATACACAAACTTGTTTAAACAACCCCTTTTTAGGAAAGACCATAAAATTTTATTTTAAAATTTTTTAAAATTATTTTTGCGCAAACAATGAAAATGATGGGCTGTTCATTGTTTTTGTTTCTAAAAACATGAAAAACGAAAATGAAGAAAATGAAACACAACCAAACATTACTAATATTCTTACTAGTGTTCTGCTTGCAGGGATAGAGGCAAGCTTTTGCAAGGCTTCCTTCAAGTCTGCACTGCCATTGATGGCGGGCAATTTATGTACTCCTTCAGCAGCCACCAAGATTGTTATCTGAAATTAAAACTACTCAGAAGGAATGATAATTTGGGCTGAAAAATGAGCTTTGGGAGTAGAAGAAAAATTTCACTTTTCAAATCACAAAATTAGTTAAATCATAATATAGCAAACTCTATTGGAAAAATATACATGCTAATGTTCAATAGTTATATACATATAGAACAAAGCCTCCAAAAGACCATACAAACCATAAGCTGATGTAGGCTACCTCACTAAGTACATAGCCACATCTATATAAAAATATTAAATTAGTTATTTGTCTCCCATTTTAAACATATCCAATCCATCCATTTAATACATACTTTTTAATTCCTAAATTATCAAAAATAAAACAAAAAAAGTTTGAAAATACTAAGGTTTCAAGAATAATGAATTAGAGTTAAAATTATATATAATAATAATTTACAAACTTAGGTTATAAAGACGCTATTGTTAATTAATTAATGTTAATAATTTATTATACTTATTAATATCATTATATTATTAGATTTTATACATATATATTATAAATATAATGTATGTTGAAACGGTCGGTGTCGGTTTAGTTCGGTGCACAAAGTGATTGAACGATACCAAACCAAAAATCGAAAAAAATCAAATCTAAAAATCGTGTAGACCAATTCTTTTTAAAAAACAGACCAAATATAGTTAGTTTGGTCAATTTTTTTGATTTTTCTTACATCTCTACTTATAAATAAAGAAGAGTGCTATCTCTATCTTTCTTGTAATTTCTGTAGTTTTTCAAGTATTCAATAAAAGTTTTCTATTTCCATATACACTTTATCTACTATCTTTTAATTTTTTAGAGGTCTGAGAGTAGTGATACAAGTAGAAATAGGGCTGTAAACGAACAGAGTTGTCTGTGAACAACTTGAGCTCAGCTCGTTTAAAACTCGTTTGAGCTCAACTCGTTTACTAAATGAACAAGCTCAAGCTGGATTTTTAGGCTCATTTATTAATCGAGTCAAGCTCGAGTAGCCCTAAGCTCAACTCGATAAGGCAAGTGAACATAAAAATAAATAAATAAATAAGTATTTTTGATAATATATTAAATAAATTTTCAATAGTCTATTTTATTTTTTATTTATGTTTGGTGTTTGTGCAAATTTATATATTTGATTGATGGAATTTATTATGAATATAAGTATTATTATATATTTTACTCATAATTTTTTATTTTTTTATTTTAATAAGTAAATTAATTTAATTTATTTTTTTTCAAGCTCGAACTCAGCTCGTTTATGTGATCGAGCGAGCTCGAGTTGAGCTCGAGTTCAACAAATATTTGATGAGTTGAGCTCGAGCTCGATTTTTGAAGATCAACTAGAGCTCAATTCTTAATAAATGAGCTTGAGCATTCAAAAGCTCAGCTCGGTTCAACTCGTTTGCTGCACTAATCAGAAGTAATATTCATTAAGAGTGAGAATTTATGCTTTGTACTCGTTGAAAGGCTAGAAAAGTATTCGCAGCAGATGAAGCAAGTTGGGAATGGAAAAACAAAATCTTAAGGTAATTTTCTAAATAATAAGTAGGGCACTTGGTCCAACAGTCCATATTGAAATTTCTTTTGCCGAAAGGTTCAAGTGCAAAATTATCATGTCTATGAGGACATTCTCCTAAACAAATAACTAAACTACCCATGTATTTAAAACCATGACTCTTTCTATTTTACATCAAACCCGTCTCTCTCTCTCTCTATATATATATATATTATCTCTATCATCTCTGTTTCTCTATCTTATTGGAACCCTAGCCATTGCCATCTCCCGTAGGAGCTCCGACACCTCTCCAATGGGAACCCTAACTAGTCATCTCTCTCTCACCGCTCTGCATTCTTTCTCCGCTAGCAATCTCTTTTATCTGCCAATCTTACTCACTCTCTCTCTCTATCTCTATCTCTCTCATAAACACCACCGAGATATATAAACTTGCCTGAACAGATAGGTTTAGGTTGTTTCACGGTCATCAATAGAGGTTTGTAAAGCGTAGAAGAAGTGCAGATCTGCACAAATAGGTTGAAGCGGATCTTTAACCGCCTCTACCAACATCCTTACCATATCGAAGAGGAGGTTTAGAAACCCAAAACCAATCATCACCTTCTGTTAATATTGCCGTGAGGAGATCTGTGGGTCCTGTGCGATGAACATTGACGACTGTAATGACTTTGCTTGCCTTACCAAGATCGAATCTGGCATGTGGCTATCTCGATGTCACTATTGCCATTGCCATCGCTGAAATCTCTACCTCTGTCTTCGTTCTTCAACAAAAAGTAAGTTTCAAAGATCGTCGCCATTAATGACTATGCCGCTAGAGATCTCCAGCAACTCCTCCACCTCGATTGAAGCCTAAAACGGTGTTTTTATCCCAAAATCCTTATATGTACATATCTATCACTCTTGGGTATTGAGTGACTGAGGATATGGAGAAAAAAATTATTAATGTTAATGTGCTTTATTGTTGATGTTGGATATTGAAGACATTGATGATTGAGGATTGAGAAATGTTTTCTTGGGATTGAAACCCTAAGGTTTTGAGGACAAAAACCCTAGAAACCTTAGATTAAAAAATGCTGTCCAAATAAGATAGTATAATTTAAACAGATTTGAAATTAAAGCTTGTTGAAATTTAACAGATAGGAAAAATTGGCCCAATGAATTTCAACAGATAGCAAAAATTGGCTTACTACATTTCAACAAATAGATACAAATTTGAATTTGAGCAGATAGGTTCAAAAAAATGAACAGAATTTTTTTTTTTGAACAGGTAGAATAAAAATAGGACCAGAATTTCAACAGATAGAATTTCATACAGATATATTTTCAATAGATAGTAAAAAAAATTGAACAGATAAAAATAAAAATTTAACAGATAGAAAAATATTTCAATAGATAGAAGAGTAAAATTGGAAATAAAATGCCCTTAAAAACAAAATGTGGATTTCTTACTAATAAAAAAATATTCATTAGATCTAATGCCTTAGACTATTGTTAAATTGGATTTTTCAATAATTTTTTCTAATAAGTATTTTCTTTTTTAATAGCAAATATTATTATTTTGATTTTTATTTTAAAAAAATGCATATCACATATAAAAACATATTATTTTATTCCATAGCATCGTCACATCATTGCACCTAATCATTAGTGCACCCTTAGGGGTCATAAAAATAGTGGGATCTACCATCACCCGGGGAGATATATAATAATTATTATTGTTTCAAAAAAATAAAAATAAAAATAAATAAATAAATAAATAAGAAGAAGAAGAAGTAGCAGCAGCAGTAGTAGTAGAAGAAAGAGCAAAAAGTGTTGCTTTATGCTCTGTCAAGAGCATGCGAAGTTGTTGATTCTGCACATGACATCAGGCATTTTTATCGTTTTATACACTCTCTACCAAAAAAAAAAAAAAAAAAAAAAAAAAAAAGTCTTGAATTGGTTGCGTCTTGGCTTCTCACGAAACTGATCAATCTAGGTGATGACAATAAAAACAAAATAAAAAGAAGCAAAAGTAGCCAAAACAACTACAATTAATTTCAGATAAATAGGAAATTAGTTGTAAATTAATTAAGTACAACTCATATATGTGTTTTTGTGGTATGATTTTTACGTTTGGGAAGTTAGATTTGGATTAAAATAGTTAATAAAGATAAATTTGACTAAAACAGTTAATAAAATAAAATGTCACATTCAAATCATAATTATTTTATTTTTTCTTTCACAACTAAGAAAAAAAAAAAAAAAAACTACTATCATTCGAAACACAACTTTTTAAGTTAGATTAAAATGGTCAAAAAATCAACTAAAATAGTCTATTTCTAAATAGGGCCTCATTTACATTTCCACTGATCTACAATTAATTTCAATTTTATTTATTTATCCCAATAAATATTATTAACAACAAAATTGACATGGAATAATGTATTGCTGTTTTCCTGTTGTTGTACGGAACACCAAGGCAGTTATAACTTCATCCTCCAAACATCTCCAAAATGAGGCTTTATTTTTGTTTTTTTGTTTTTGTTGTTCTTTATTTTAATTGACTCTCCAAAAATGAGGTCTTGTGATGGTTACTATGGTGTTGTTTTTGTAAGAAATAGAAAACCAAAGATATAACCATTATACATTAGATAGTGAGATAATTATTATTAATAATTTAGATTTAGAGACGAACACAACATGAATTGAATTGTATTATGCTGTCTATGGAAAAGTGACACAAATGGAATATGTAAGAACGACAAAATTACCTGAACCGATTATATTTGTTTTAACTTAATTTTAATAATAAAATAAAAAAAAAATTGTATGGGAGAACATTGGTTAAATATAATAGGATAAAGTATAATAGTATATAAGTCAAAATTATATTAAGGCTAAGTTTGGGAATACTAAATAAGTGTACTTTTTGTCTTTTTGGACTAAAAAATTGAGGTTGAAAATATGGATATTTGGGTTAACTTTTTGACTTTTTATTGAAAAATAAAAAAAAAAATTGTATGGGAGAACATTGGTTAAATATAATAGGATAAAGTATAATAGTATATAAGTCAAAATTATATTAAGTTCAAAATTATAATTTACGCCAAGAAAACCCCGACCCAAACCGAACCAACTATTCAAATTGGTGGCGTCACAACTTTTGAGCCTGCTTGGTGACACACGATACAGCAAGGTGTACGCCTATCATTTGTGGTCCAAGGACTAGTATAAATTCTCTGAATGCTACATAAAAAAGATAGTCTATTGGCGTTTGGGGTTTTTTTTTTTTTTTTTAAAATTAAAAAAAAAAAAAAAAAAAAAAAGAAATAATATAATTCAAATAAATCAATAAATCAATAAGTTAACTTTTTTTCATATTTCCAAAAGAGGCCTATATTACAAAGTCAATTACTTAGCTATTTTAGATTTTTAAGATTGTTTTTATTGGGAGAAAATAGTTTCATTATTTGTAATTTTTATCACAAAGTGACATAACACATACATCATAAACATTCGTAACTTTCATTAAAAAAAATTGTAACATTTTTTACAATGTGAATCTTTTTAAAGATGCACAATGTAACATATAATAAACCTAATTGACTATAATTTCAAATCGATTTAATTATAACTATATGATTTTAGCATATTTGTCTTAAAAGAATTAATGGAAAGTACATTTTCCAAAAGTAATCACCTTCTTTGGTTTTGATTGATTTTCTAAAAATTGAATTTTTTTTTTTTTTGGGTTTTCGTATTTTTTAGTGATTTTTTTTAATATTTTAAGTAAATTTTTTACTTTCTAGATGAGCAAAACTTAGATTCACCTAAAAAGTAAAATATTTGTGAAAAATATTTAAAAATTCAACAAATATGCAAAAATACGAAAATATACTGAATTTTTATTTTTCATTTTTTTTTGTAGTTTTTGTATTTGATGAAACTTTTAAAGATTTTTTTTCTATAAATATTATACTTTTTAAGTGTATCTAGATTAGGTATATCTAAAAAATAAAAATAAAATATTAAAATATTAAAAATTTTGACAAAAAACAAAAGAAATACACACACACACACACACACAAAAACAAAACAAAAAAAAAAAAAAAAAAAAAAACAAAAAAAAAACTCAATTTTCTCCAACCAAACCAAGTGAATATAATCAAGTGAATATAATAAAGGTTTGGTTTCTCTCAAATTGTCATATCAACTTATAAAGAGAGCGTTTGACCTAGGTAGGCCTATTTTATGGCCAGTTTTGGTGATCCAAACTATTTAATTTTAGGACTCATTAAGTAGAATTTTTATGCAAAAAATCAAGATGATCAGATATCAATAGCTATATGTTTGAATCCTTTTGTTTAAAAAAAATGGATAAAAAATATAGTTTCAAAAATAGTTATTTATTTCTTATAATACAAATTTGATTCGAACATATAGTTACTAATGTCCAATTATCTTAATTTTTTATATAAATATTCTAATCAGCGAGTCCTAAAAAAATAAATGATTCTGATTACCAAAATGGATCCCAAAACTAAGAGAAGTCAAACCCATATTTAAACCTCATTGAATATAATTATCAGATCAATCTAATTGTTAAAGTAAATTATACTTTTAACCCCTATATAGTTTGACCCAAATTTATTTTGGTCTCTATTATTTTAAATTGAACAATTTCATCAATACACTTTAAATTTAGTTTCAATTTAATAATTCCATTCAAGTTATAGGTTAAAATTAACGATTTTAGAATACTTATCAATTTTTTAAGGTATACATACATACAATCAATCTGAAATCCTTAATAATTTGTTGTAATGTCTAACTTTTTGATTTAAATTTAATTTAATTATATTTTAGATCTTAATTAATCATAAATTCTTAATTATTTATTACAATTCCTAATATGTTAATCTGATTTTCATTTATTATATTTTAGATCAATCATTAATTATTAATTATTGCTTATTTTGTATTTTTATTTAATTATATTTTAAATCAATCCTTAATTATATTTTATATTTCAGGTCAATCCTTAATTATATTTTAATTTATTTTATTTTAATTAACATAGTACTATATTTTTAGGTTTGGAGGAAATAGGAATAAAATTGTCTCTTTGTTGTGTTAATTTTATTTAATTTTTTTAGAAAACCAAACTCGCTGTCCAAAGTAGTATGTGTGATACATCTTCCTTTAGTTTGGATAAGAAAACCAATGGTAGCACTTTAGTCCAAGATTTCCTGACTATATTTGAACCATAGGAGGTAAAATACTCTAATCTTAAACCACGAGTAGATAAAATGAATTTAACCCTAGATTAAGTAAGATGTTAAAGTATAAAGGGCAATCTTGACATTTTAAGATCTTGAAAACTAGCAAATTAAGAAAACCAAGTTCGCATTAGAGTGATCACGGATTCACCTAACCCGTCTAACTCGACTGGACTCGATTGAATCGACTAAATTCAATTGATTTTGAACAGATACGTGTCTTTCAGTGGATGAATACAAGTGAAACATTTTAAAATTTGCGGATTCGGGTTGAATGGCGGATCAACCATCTTGTATCTGCATGGCCCCAATATGCCTGTAGATGAAGTTCATTAAAAAAAATTTAAAAAGAAAATTTAAAAAAAAAAAAAAAACATAGAATAGAAATAATATATATATATATATATATATTTATGTAAACAGAAAACAATAACTTAAAAATATAAATATGTGGTGCCATGTCTTATTATAGACAAATAATACATATTTGTTTAGATTACTAGTTATTGGATATTATAAAAATTATGAATTATAATTCAAAAAAATGCTCAAAATTTATGAAGTCCAAATTGCAAAACCGATTGCATACATTCACCACCCACACCGACGCTCAATCCGCATCCGCCAAACTACTGGACGGATGTGGAGTGATTTTTTTTTATCCGCCTAATTTTGAATGGATAAAATACCATCCGACCCAACCGAATCCGTGATCACCCCTAGCTCGCATTACAAATTCAGTTCCAAAAAAAATAAAAAAATAGAACTTCGCATTATAAATTATTCGTTGACAATTATTTTATTTTCAAAAAGAGCATAGTAGAACTAATCTTCCCTTTAAATTCCAATCCACAAGGGTCGGCTGGGTGTCCATAACCTCACCGCCATCACCATCATCATCACCATCATCATCATCTCTCTCTGTCTCTGTCTCTGTCTTTTGTCTTTCTCTCTCTCTCTCTATGTGAAGCTCATACATCTCTCATTAAGCTATACTAATATTAATTGAGATACATATATATATATATATATATATATATATGTTTTTTGGGACATTGTCCTGATCTTGAATCATCAAAAAATGGGGTGTGATAAGTCAACGGAAAAGCCAAAGCCAAAGCAGAAGCAGAAGCAGAAGCACAAGAAGGGGTTGTGGTCGCCCGATGAAGACCAAAGGCTCAGAAACCACATCCTCGAGCATGGCCATGGCTGCTGGAGCTCTGTCCCAATCAATGCCGGTGAGACTTCTTCATTCATCTCATGTGTTGCTTGCTTGCTTCCTAATGAATATCTCATTATTACTCTCAGTAGAATAATCATCATCTCTCATCACCTCTCCTAATAAAATTAACAAGTCTTCAAATATTGACATGGTTACAGGTTAATGCATTCCACCATATCCCATAATTGTTTTCAAGTGTGTATGCTACTTATGAAAATTGTGCCAAGTATTGGCCTGATTCGAGCTCGATTTAAATTCTGAACATTTTTCTATATATATATTTTTTAAATACATAGCATTTCTCAATGATCATACCAATATGAGCATTCTTCATTCTTCTTACAAAACTGCAGTTTGGGGCGATGGAGGTCGGCTCTACCATATAAATATAAGAAATATAGTGAAATGAAACTAATTAAGATGATCATGGTTTTTTTTTTTTATATTTTATTTTTATATCTGATTTATTGAAGTTCTTCGCTATTTGGATGGACAAATCACCATTCAATGCATGGTCGGCTTTGGTAGATTAGTTGGCCTAAGAATTATTTTTTATTTATTTATTTTTTTATGAATGAAAACCTTTTCAAAGTATTTTTTTATGAATGAAAACCTTTTCAAAGTGTTTTTTTTTTCCTTCAAATTTTTGGGGATTAATAGGATCGGAGGTTGAATTTTGTGGTAAATTAACGAAACTGAGATTGTAGTGAAAGAGATTGATGATGACCTTATATTATTGTATAGACTAAAATGTCATTGTAGCTGACTTTTTTGCGATCATGACGTGGCAGGGTTGCAAAGGAATGGGAAGAGCTGCAGACTACGGTGGATCAATTACTTGAGGCCTGGCCTAAAGAGAGGGATGTTTACTGCATCAGAAGAGCAGACAATCCTCACCCTTCATGCCATGTTGGGCAACAAGTAAGCATTGACTTCACTTTCTTACCGTGCACCTTCCCCTAGCAGAACCATACTCTTCTTCAAGTATCCAAAGAGAAATAATGTCAGACTAGGCGTGTTTGAGCCTATGATATCATTACATGTAGAATTAGCCATTAAAAAAATAAAAATAAAAAAATAAAAGAAGAAGAAGAAGAGATAGAAAGGGAAAATGCTAATATTATATTATGATTTTGGTGGGTCGAACTTATGACACAAGGCATAAGTTTGGCTATCTTCGAAATAAGAAAGAATATAAAAGTTAACGTAAATAAGATAGAATATAAGAATTAACGTCACACGTTCTATTAAATTTTGATTTTTTGGATGTATTGATCAAGTTTTTAACAATAAAACACCAAAGAAAGGAAATCACAAATATGAAAAATGCTACTGCTTCATTTTGTTGCATTGTAGGCATTTGTTTGCACTTTGTATACGTTCACTATGGTTAAATGCAAAAAAAAAAATGTGAAACCTTTCATTTTGGATGATAATTACAAACTAATTTTTTTTTTTTTTTTCCACTGATCAGGTGGTCTCAGATAGCTCAACATTTGTATGGAAGAACTGATAATGAGATAAAGAACTATTGGCATTCTTATTTGAAGAAGAAAGTGGCCAAAATGGAACAAACCGAACCTCAAAACAACACCAAATTGATGAGTCCCAACACAGAATCTTCACTTTCTTCCCACAAATCAACTCCTCGCAATCCAAGTTTCGAATCATTTGAACACATGGAAGGATCATCAACGAACACTAATCAGTCCATACCACAGATTTTCAACTTTCCAAGGGAACCTGCTTGCTTTCAGAACAACTTGCCAAAGCTTTTATTTGCTGAGTGGCTCTCACTGGATCAATTTCAAGGCCAGGAATTTGGAAGTTCCGGCGAGCCAGCAATTTCTAATAAGGATGCTGCTTTAGACCATAATCCAAACTTCCAAGATTCTTTTCTCAATGGATTATTAGCAAATGAGGGGTCATTTGGTTGCGAGTTTCGTCAAGAGTTGAGCAATGGTTCTGCTGATGAAATGTTTCAGCACCCACAGTTCAAGTCTGAGGATTGGTTCCTCGAGAGCGAGTTGGTTGATTTGATCACAGAAGATGATTTGAACATGAACAATGGATGTGTATATGAGGGGTGTTGAAGAAACATCAAGAAAAAGTAACTTGTAATTACCCTTTTGCAAAGACTTCTCATACTAATAAAAATGGCCATCAAAGTCTTTACTTGTTTTCTTCCAAAAATCTCTTCTTCTTTTCCAGATTTGAAAACCCTAGGTCTTTCTCTCGTGCACGTGGGCAAGGGTGGAGAAATGCTAGGTGAAGGGGGTTGAAGTAGAGACCGGAGGCTGTGGTTGGAGGTGGGGTAAAGTTAGGGTTTGAAAGAATAGTGGTGTAATAAGAAGTCGAGAGGTTAAGTACTGGTAGAATGACAGGGATGAAAAAAGATAAAATATTTATTTTTTTATTTTCTTTATTTTTGAATTTCGAAAGGGAGTGTAATTAGAAAATAGATATAATAAGGTTTTTCCAATTTTATTTTATTTTTATTTTCATTTATTATTATTTTTTTGGTGTAAACTGAAACTCCCATGTTGGAAAGCCATGAAGTTCAATTAGAGGCTATTGTTTTGTGGAGTTGCTTTTGAAAATAACCCTCTTCTGCTGCATATAACAAAGTCAAATATTCACCCAAAAAAACAAATTAAGTCAAATGAGTTTGAAATAATCAAGATAATGCTTCACAAATGAAAGGTCTTCTCCAATATTATTGGTCTGAATGCATCAAACTCTCATTGTGATTCATGTAATAAGTATATACATTATTTATATATATTCACACACAAAACATGAAGCTGAGATGTTGAGTTGATGGAAGTGTCATAAACCTATTTCACCAAACCTTGAAAAGGTCAAACAGCATAAAGAAAAACAACAAAAAATTAAAAATTAAAATAAAGGGTCACATATAACCCTATTTTATTCTTTTTCTATTTATATCTTAATTATGTTCCCATTTCCCAATCACAATTTGATTTTACATTGTTGACTTAATTGTTTAGTAGGTGACACACGCGATACATGTGCAATTTAAATAATTAAGAATAAAAAATAAATAATAAAACAATTTGTGTCAAATCTAAAAAAGCAAGAAAAAAGGAAATTAATGTTGTAATATGTATGTTGGCTAAGTAGTAAGAGTTTTCTTAATGAAATCCAATATTTTAAATTCAAACTTTGTGCACTACCTTATAGATACAATCCTTCACTTAATAATAGTATAGAAGATATATAGATGTTGAAATATTTTAAGAGATAAAGTGTTCATTCTGCTACATTAATCTAATTTCAACTATGTGTTATTCTAAAGAAACTTAAAGAATTTTCTTTCTAAAAAAAAGTGGGTTGCTAGTTTTCATTGACCTTTAAACAAACCAAACCTTAACATTTCTCCAGCCATAGGTTTATTTAACAAAGCGGCAAGTTTTGCAGATAATTGCTTGAGGATAGCTTATTCTAGAATTTTTAGTTACTAAATCTACCGTATGTAGATAGGATGTGGCTCAATGTTCCCAAACTATACCTCTCCATAACTTTGATTGAACTCGTGCAATAATGCAATTCTCAAAACTAGATTTAGCTCAGCTCGAGGCGCATTCTCAAAAGCTTTGGCTTCGTCTCATTGTCTGCCTAATCTTAGCGGTTACACAAGTGCTCTGCCTAGAAGGACAAGTTGAAAACTCAAAATTTATTCTCTATTGCACAGCACATAGAAAGTTTTGAGTAGTTCCAAGTGCTGTGTTTCGTTGGGAGATTTGGAAAGAGATTTGAAAAAAGAAAGGAAAAAAGTGTGTGAAACTAGATGACATATAGATATATTTTATTCACATTTCACCTAACTTTTTCCTTTCTCTTTCTAAATTCCTCATCAAATCTTCCAACCAAACACAGCGTTATTGGATCTATAAGGTTGTGCTTTATTCATCGATTTGGGCAGGGATTCGGAAACAGAGAAGGAAAATGTGTATGAAACTAATTAAAAAGTAGATAAATTTTATTCACATTACACATACCTTTACTTTTTTTCTTTCCCTTTCCAAATCTCTTCTCAAAGTTGGAACATATTAATGAATCATAGATAAATTAAACTAGTCAGAGTAGAGGCTTAGGCAAGTCCCATAATTACATTCCAACATTTACACTGTGTTTGGTTGGGGGATTTAGAAAGAGAGAGGAAAAAAGTGTGTGAAATTAGGTGAAATATAGATATGTTTTATTCATATTTCACATACATTTTCTATTTTCCTTTCTAAATCTCTCCTCAAATCCCCCAACCAAACACAGCATTAGAGGAGGCACTAATGAATCTTCATAGAGGAATCATTAACAATAATCGTTGGGGTTAAATAGCTCAGAAACAACTTGGAACTTGCACAATTTGCCTACAACCATATATTCACATTGCCAAATATGCATAGTATATTGATATCCAAGACTTGAAAATCAATGTTCATCATTTACATTTTATGCACAGAAAGAATTAATCTGAAATAACACAGATTGACTTTTTCCATGTATTTAAAAGTTCCATCATAGCATAACAAAATAACACCACAGCTCTCAGGAAACTTAGAAACTCATTACTACGAAGCTGTCAGTGAGGACTAGGCTGGTCCAAAAAAGTGCAGTAGCAACAACAATGATCATTGACGCACTTATTTGGATTCTTAGTTGATAGTTACTATGACCTGCACAGGTGGATGTGTTTTTGTTCTCTACCTTATATTATACAATGATCTATTTATGGTTTTTTCAGACAGTATATTGGCTATGCATATACAATTGACTGTTTTTAAGGTTACTCTGAAAGAAATTTCTTCAACTTCTTCACACTCCTTTTTTCTCTCTTTTTAATCAGCAATGCACTATCAACAACACAGTACAAATATGTATGTGTTAGAGACTGCATCCCACATGCTAAAATGAAATATGGTCTGCCATTTTCCAAGTGAAGTCAGTATATAAAGATGCACGCTGCTTCCTATTTTAACCCAACCTTACAAATTAAGGGTAGCAAGTCGTTACTTGTCTATCCAATTAGAAATCCAAATAAATAAATAAATAAAGTGGTTACTTGTCTTACCTGAAAAAAATAAATAAGGAAAAAGATTAAACGACGGATTTTCTGTCTAACATAGAACCCATGAATAAGGTCTGATGTAGTTTATACTGATCAATACTTGTATTGTAATTCTTCGATGATTTCAAGCTTGCTCATATAATTCTGGGGATCATTTTTCTTTTTCTTGTACCAGATTTAAAATTTTGGTCTGCTAGCACTACAATCAATATAAGATTTTGAGCTTTTCCCATCTGCTACCTCCCCATACCACAACATGGAAAATGGCAATCATGTATCACTAACACTTGTTCATTACAAATTCACTCAGCTATTTTGTCCACAATCGTACGTCTATACATAGAAATTCACCACTATGCACACATAATTATGAACGCTAACTTGTCAACCAAATAAGCACCCAATACATCCAAAAAAATAAGAAAGAAAAAAGAAAATAAAATAAAAACAAATACAGCCCAAAGAAGATAATTTACAAACAGAAATTCATTATTTCGAACCAGACTTGATTCTTTCAACTTCAAAAACATCCAAGGAGTTTCTTTGGAGCAGTTCCGGTGGCACGATACTTTGCAGCTATCTCCTCTGCCTTGAGAAGATCTTCACCACGTTTTGCTTCAATCATTGCCCTCTGTTCTTCTGCTGCCTTGTGGAGGAGAGCTAACTTGTTTTTCATTTTCTCCACATATGCTGCCTTCAGGTTCTCCAATTTCTCCTGCTCACATGATTTGTAACCAATATCAGTTCCGAGTATAAAAAAGCCTTCTCTAAGTCATTAGACATTAGTTTGCTAAGGTTAAAATGTTAGCGCCTCTAATTGACTAGATTGCTTGGGGATCGTAACACAAAGTTCTTTCATCGTATGGCTAATGCTCATCGGCGGGTGAACCAGAAAAGGAGAATGCGGGTTGATGGGGTGATGCTTTCTTCAAAAGAGGAGATCAGGAATGGTATAGTGGCATTCTACCAGCATTTGTTCCGTGATGAGGACCAGATTTGGAGACCGAGGTTGGAGGGTGTCGCTTTTGATTCTATTTCTGCGGAGGATGGGACCTTGTTGAAGAGGCCTTTCACTAAGGAGGAGATTTTGGATGCGTTGCAGAGTATGCCTGGGGACAAGGCACCGGGTCCAGATGGTTTCTCTATTGCTTTCTTTTAGCAGTGTTGGAAAGTGGTCAAAGGGGAGGTGTTAGATGTGTTTGCACAGTTTTATCGGTCTGGGCAATTTGGGAGGAGTCTGAATGTCACTTTCATAGCTTTGATTCCCAAGAAGGGGGGCCAAAGGATATTCGTGACTTTCGGCCTATAAGTCTTTTGGGTAGTATTTACAAATTATTGGCCAAGGTGTTGGCTAACAGGCTTCGAGGGGTGTTGGAAGGGGTCGTTTCAGAATCTCAGAATACTTTTGTGGGTGGGCGACAGATTTTGGATGTTGTTTTGGTGGCAAATGAGTGTGTGCATTCGTAACTTCGGCAAGGGAAATGGAGGCTAATTTGTAAGCTGGATATTGAGAAGGCTTATGACAATGTAAATTGGGTGTTTTTGATATACATGTTGGAAAGGTTGGGTTTTGGAGCACAGTGGCAGAGGTGGATACATTTTTATATTTCCACCGTTCGTATGTCTGTCCTAGTTAATGGAACTCTAGCGGGTTTCTTCCCCACTTGGAGAGGCTTACGACAGGAAGACCCATTGTCCCCATTACTGTTCATTTTGGTTATGGAAGCGTTGAGTCGTTTGTTGTCTAAGGCGGTCCAAGGGGGCTTATTATCGGGCTTTGTGGTGGGAGAGGTGCCTGCTTGTTTGCGGGTTTCTCACCTATTCTATATGGATGATGCGTTGATTTTTTGCGATGCGAATGCTACGCAAATTGACCACTTGTGGTTCTGAATGTCACTTTCATAGCTTTGATTCCCAAGAAGGGGGGCCAAAGGATATTCGTGACTTTCGGCCTATAAGTCTTTTGGGTAGTATTTACAAATTATTGGCCAAGGTGTTGGCTAACAGGCTTCGAGGGGTGTTGGAAGGGGTCGTTTCAGAATCTCAGAATACTTTTGTGGGTGGGCGACAGATTTTGGATGTTGTTTTGGTGGCAAATGAGTGTGTGCATTCGTAACTTCGGCAAGGGAAATGGAGGCTAATTTGTAAGCTGGATATTGAGAAGGCTTATGACAATGTAAATTGGGTGTTTTTGATATACATGTTGGAAAGGTTGACTCAAAAAATATGAGGAAGGAATATATTTTTAATCACTTAAAGAATGAGAACATGATTCTCTCTTATAAAGAGAGCAATTACAACAGAAAAGGAAACTAATTAAAGCTAATATTTGATAGCTTGTACTTTCCTATTTTTCCTGATTCTATACAGCCTTTACTTTCCATATTTACATAGGAAAAAAAAGATCCTAGAATATTGACTAAATCAAGACAATAATAACCAAATTTCCAGCAGGTTGGGTTTTGGAGCACGGTGGCAAAGGTGGATACATTTTTGTATTTCCACCGTTCGGATGTCTGTCCTAGTTAATGGAAATCTGGCGGGTTTCTTCCCCACTTGGAGAGGCTTACGACAAGGAGACCCATTGTCCCCATTACTGTTCATTTTGGTTATGGAAGCGTTGAGTCGTTTGTTGTCTAAGGCGGTCCAAGGGGGCATATTATTGGGCTTTGTGGTGGAGGAGGTGCCTGCTTGTTTGCGGGTTTCTCACCTATTCTATGCGGATGATGCGTTGATTTTTTGCGATGCGAATGCTAAGCAAATTGATCACTTGCGGTGTATTCTGTTATGTTTTGAGGCAGTGTCAGGGTTGCGGGTTAATTTATCAAAATTAGAATTAATTCCTGTGGGTGAGGTGGCTCGATTACCGGTGTTGGCAGCCGTCTTAGGCTATAAAGTGGCACAGTTGCCGGTTTCTTATTTGGGTCTTCCTTTGGGGGCTTCTTTTAAGGAGTCTAAAGTGTGGGGTGGGATGGGATGGTGGATAGAGTTCAGCAACGGCTAGCAGGGTGGAAGCACTAATATTTGTCAAAAGAATGACGGATTACTTTGGTTAAGAGCATTCTTCTCTCTAGTATTCCGATATACTTTATGTCTGTGCATGTAATCCCTGTGGGTGGTGGCCAAGAGGTTGCAGAAATTGCAAAGGGATTTTTTGTGGAGTGGGAGTGGGGAGGGTTTTCATTATCATTTGGTGGCTTGGGAGACGGTGTGTAATTTGAAAGAGCAGGGGGGTTTGGGTGTGCAGAATTTGGTGGCTTTTAATCGGGCTTTATTGGGCAAGTAGTTGTGGCGCTTTGTGGGGGAGCAAGAGAGGTTAGGGAGGAGGGTGGTGGTGGCTAAGTATGGGGAGGCCCAATTCAATCTCATGGTCGTGGGTTGTGGAAGGGGATTTGGTTGGGGAGGGAGGTGTTTTCGAAGAGGGTTCGGTTCCAAGTGGCGGTTGGTGATCGAATTCGCTTTTGGCAAGATCGGTGGTGTGGTGATTTATCTTTGACGGTCAGGTTCCTGCTCATTTTTGCGATTGCTGCTGATGTGGAAGTTTTAGTTGCTTCGGTTAGGGTGAAGCAAGGGGATTCAATCATTTGGAATGTTCGTTTACGATGTCATGTTCAGGATTGGGAGCTCGACAATTTGGTGGATTTTCTAGGTTTCTTGTAAGGTTTGCAGACTGGGGGAAAAGGGAGGGATTCTTTGGTTTGGGATGTTCGCAAGTCTAAAAGTGTTTTCTCCTTGTCCTCATTTTATGAGGTGCTTGTAGGGGGTGTTGGTGGTGTGTTTCCTTCAAAATTTATTTAGGCAACGGGTTCTCCTTCTAAGATTGCGTTCTTTGTTTGGACAGTTGCTTTGGGTCGTATCCTCATTATTGATAATTTGATTCGGCATCGTCGTGTGTTGGTGAATTGGTGTTGTCTGTGTTGCGGAATCGGTGGATCATTTGCTTTTCATTGCCCGGTTGCGTCTAGATTGTGGAATTATATTGTTGCTCTGTTTCGCTTCGTGTGGGTGCAACCAGGGTCTCTTTTGGGGGTGTTACAGAGTTGGTGTGGGGCTAGAGTGGGGAAGAGGCGCCGGAAAACTTGGATGCTTGCTTCTCATTGTTTGCTTTGGTTGGTCTGGTTAGAACGTAATAGGCGAATGTTTCAGGATGAGTGTCATTCTGTCTCTTGGTTAGAGCATCGGTTGCTGAGGGTGTTACACAGTTGGGTTACAGGTATAATTGATCCCAATGTTTTGGTCTTCGTAGATTTTGTGGAGGATTTGATTAGCTAGTTTTCGTTTCAGTCCCTTTTTGGGCCGTATCTTTGTATTCTTTGCATCGCCTTGATACTTTCTAATAAATCTGATTATTTATCAAAAAATAAAATAAATAAATAAATGCAATCTTTTAACAATACGAATGAAAACTTCTCACCTCAATCTTTTTTAACTCGGCTTCTACTGTAGCTTTCTTGCTGTTCTCCCATGCTACAATAGCAGATACCTTTTTATGAGCTCTGTTCAAAAATTTCAGATTATGAGATTTGGTACACATGGTCCACATTTATAACTGGAAACAAGTATTGTTTGAATTTGAATTAAAATAGGATTTTTTAACAAAACCTACCTGTACTAGAACTTTTTTAAGCATCTCAAAGAGTTTGGATTTAATACAAAAGCATATAATAGTGGCTCAAATTTTTGGTCTGTATTATGATTTGCAAATGATATCAAAAGGAGAAAATGGTAGCATAAATTGTGGAAAAGATTCAAATCCACAATTGGGTTCTTATCAAGCAGAGAAAATAAAAAAATAAATAAATAAATAAAAAGAAGTAAGGGGTGGTTTGGAATGTTCTAAATAAGTGTACTTTTTGACTTTTTATAAAATATGGGTTGGATTTGGGTTGGGTTTGAAGTGATGTGGTAGAGAGGTGATGTGACTTAAATAAGATGATGTGACTTAAATAGAATAGTGACTTAAATAGAATAGTGACTTTCAACTTTTTGACTTTTTTAGTACATGACAAACAAGGCCTAAATATCAAGTATTACATTATGATGGCCGCAGTAATGTGTAAATATCAGACTTAAAATTGATTTCAGGTAAATCCCCACTCACAAAAATCACCAGTGATGCAACATTGAGCAGGCAAAGCGTTGATAAAGATGTGTAAATATGCTTCACTGTTTTTCTCCTTTCCAAGGCACTAATTTTCTTTCTTCAAAGAGTATTTACTGGATATGATAAAGAATATTATCGAAGTCCACATCATGATTATGGCTTGTACTCTTTTGTAGCAATTTTTTTTAAAAAAAAACTTGTTAATCTTCTTGAAATAACATCATATATTTGAAAAAAATCTCTTACTTGTTCTCTGCTTTTGACTTCTCACTTTCTTCCCATGCTTTGATTAGGGACAACCTTTTCTCTGTTGCAACCCGTGCCAGCACAGCATCTGAAAAAGAATACAAGCATTCCTTTCAATCATCAAACTTTGCATAAATGATTAAGCCAGAAGGAGGAACACTGAAATGTAAATTCTCATTACCTCTGTTAACAGAACCCTCAGAACTTTTCTGTTCTCCAGTATCTGGAATGGCTGCATTGATCAGAAAAAGGTTCAAAGAATTACAGAACAGAAAGTAACAAGAAATGTTAGTAGTTACTCTTGGAGCGAATTCTAGTCTTAAAAATGACAAACCCAAACATTTTATTTATAGATTTTTTAACTATATAATACCAATCTTCTACATGATCCTAGTAATAACCAATAAGACTATTGACAAAACATTCTGTCTCCAAAGCCATACACAAGATGGTATCACTAGAACTCAATAAGGAACTAATTATTATCAAGTTGATATCGTTATTCGAAATCCCTACATCTTGCATATGCATTTGATTTGAATTTATGAAGTCACTTAATGCACAATGCATTTTAACCAAAATACATCGTATTACCAATTATGGAAAGAGTAAATTTATTCATTTTCCAAGTTTATTCAGCTCTAAACAGTGCAATTCTTAAGTTTTGTAGGTAATTTATCTGAGGCATCACAATATATTTTGCGCTTTTAAGTGTTGTAAGCAAAAAATTAACTCCAAAAGTAATGGCCAGGTCCCCCGCATAACTAATACCACAGCTTCTATGTAAAAAAAGAACAACATGCTTCACTTCACTGGCTTTTCATCTCTAGATTTTGGGGTTGTGACTGATTGGTAATCTAATTGAAAATCTGACACCATTAAATTACAAATTTAATTAAACTTCAAAATTGGCTAAAAATATAAGGCAGAACCAGCATGAAATTAAGCAATCTAGATAATTTTGGGTTCAAAAAAACAAATATAAATTAAAAAAAAAAAAACTCCCATGTTAAATACATAACATAATTGAGGTAATCATCATAAAACAGAACAACATACTAGTCAGACTTGTGGAAAGAACAAAAATAGAAAGAAAAAGTGATAAAAGAGAAGTAAGTAATCCTGGAAAATCTTCTTTTAACGCTCTCTTGATTGCTGGGTTAAAACATAGGAAAACAAGCAAATAGAAATCAACCAGACTTGTGAATTTTGAGTCTTTGGAAACATGAAAACTGCAGCGAAACAGAGTTCTACTGCCACTACTACATCTATCAAGCAGTAAACTTATACTATATGTTTTCAATCTCAAGAAAAACAAACACTAGAAAAATTATCAAGTAAACACACACACACAATAAAAATTAGTAGATGTTTTAGTTTTGTGGAATCATCCTCCAGTTTCTTAGCCACCAAACACAACTAAAAATGAAAAAGAATGAGAGGAGAGAGACAGAGAGATGTTACTTTCAACAATTGCGAGGGCTCTGGTATCATCGGCCTTGTTGGCCTCAGGAGGAGGAAGAGGAACTAGGGATTTGTGCTCAGCTACGTCTATTGGAGCTTCGGTGGTGGGTTCTGGTGCGGGAGTCTGGGTTTCCAACAACTTCTTAGGCGCCTCCTCTTCTGCCATTCCTTGGGTTAATTTTGAACCAAAAGATCTCCTCTCACTCACAAACAGAAACAGAAGAAATACCAAATTTGGAGAAAGAAAGGTAACTATCACTCCACACTAGCTTGGTGGTTGGTATGACCTAAGGTGGTGGCCAATTAAGTCCTCCTTTGACAATAGGTTGTTTTTTAATTAATTTTTTTTTATCTTTTAATTATTTAATTTGGGATTAAAAATTTATTTGGTTTGATTTTTTTTTTAATATTTTTAATATTTGTGAAAGAAAAAATAAAATGATTATAATTTACATGTGACATTTTGTTTTATTAACTTATATAAATTTTTCTTTTCTTTTTTTTTTATACTTTTTTAGCCAAAATTTGATTACGAAACGAATCCCTCGTCCCCGTCTGGGAAGTTAATTCGAAGTTGGTTGAGGCTAAAAAAAAAATATGAAAAGGTAAAATAAGTTAAATAAATTAATAAAATAAAAATATCATATTCAAATTATAATTATTTTATTTTTTTTCATAAAGAAAATTAAAAAGTTAAAAAACTCAAAAAGTATCTTTCAAATTAAACTAATTTGGTCAGGTTAAATTAATTTAAAAAATTAAGTTAAAAATATTCTTCTCAAACGAATCCTAAGTCTTGGTTTAGTTTTTATTTTGGGACTAAAAAAACACAAAAAGACAAAATAGAATATATTAGTCAATATGACAAAATGTCACATTCAAACCATAATCATTACATTTTTTTCTCACAAAAGTCAAAAAAATCCCAAAAACAAAAACTAAACAAGACTAAAAAATCCAAGTTAAAAAAATTTTAATACAAAAAAGCTGATTACCATAACCAATGCCAAACGAAGTTTAAGACACCTCCCGCCTAGGAGAGAGGGAAAAAGACTGGAATACTAAAAAAATAAATTAAATGACGTCATTATATAGTTTTTAAGTCATAATTAAAAAAAATGAAAAAAAAAATTATAAGTGAATATCACATGAGTTGTAAATAAAGATTTTATAACTCATAACTAAAAAAAAATAACATAATTAAAAATACATGTTATACACATTTTATAATAAAATTTCCCTCGAGAGACATTATGCTCTATGAAAAGGGTCACACTCATTTTGGCTTAAGCTTAAAGCAAACATTGTGGGTGTTTGAAAAGTTACTATTTTAATAGGCTATTTTAACTTTTAACTATTTTAATAAGTTAAAATTTTTTTGTTTAGAAAGATATTTAAATTTTTTTGTAATTACAAGTGATATTTGTGAGAGAAAAAATAGAATGATTATGAATTTGATGTAATATTTTATCTTATTAACTATTTTAACCTATTTTATTTTTTTATAAATTTTAATTCAAAAAATCAAAAAATAACTTTTACCAAACACCCCATTCTTGGATGGACTCTGGTGACGTACGAGACCGTTTTCTTGCTACATTTTTTGCCTTTTAGCCTTTCCTTCTTGTTTTTTTCTTTTTTAAGTTGTTCCTTTTTAAAAAAATTATAAACAAATAAAAAAAATTGGGCAAGGACTCTGGTGACGTACGAGACCGTTTTCTTGCTACATTTTTTACTTTTTAACCTTTCCTTCTTGTGTTTTTTCTTTTTTAAGTTGTTACTTTTTAAAAAAAATTATAAACAAATAAAAAAATTGGGCAAAATATTTTAAATAAGTAACAACTAATTTTAATTATGATAATGATTCAAGCACTAAATTTAAGTTTATCTCAATTGCTTGAATTTAGCTGTGCCGATTGACCCTTTGAAAGACTATTCAAATGACAATTTCAATCATTATCAACTATAATTGTCACCCTTATCAACTACGGTTGTCACCTTTACTATCGGATGACCGGCTAGACGACCGGTCGGTCGATCACCCAGACGACCAGTATATACAAATTCAGACGATTCGAGCAATCTAAAATTCGATAAATGTAACATAGCTCTTTTAATTATAGTTAAATTTCAAATCAATAACCCCAAGCAGTTTGGCTTAGTGGGAGGAGAAGAAAACTAAAGGTCTTACCACTAAAGAAGTCACAGGTTCAAATCTCATAAAGGTCAAACATTCCAAACCTGGGAGCATTAAAGATTTGCTCGATCATTAATTTCAGGTATCGAGATTAATCAAGATACGCGTAAATTAGTCAGAACACTCGATTATTAAAACAATTTTCATAGTAGATATCAAAAACAAAAGTTTACAAAGGAATTAGAGAGGGTAGATATCAAAAACAAAAGTTTACAAAGGAATTAGAGAGGGATTGGGACAAACGGGATGGTGTTGTCACAATACTCTGTTGTATGGCCCGACTGAGGTTTGTATCAATTTTATTTTGATGATTCAAATTGTTCATATTATAAGATTCATCAAGTATATCATTCATATAAAAAATGAAATTAATCGGATGTATAACCCCATGATCGAACCATAATTGTTTTAAAAAAATTATCAAAATTATGTTAATCATTTATTTTTTTAAAACATAAATATAGTCTTATTATATAAGTTACAATTGATTTGAATTTTTTTTTTTTTATAAATGATCTACTCAACAAATTTTATAATATAAACTATTTAGATCAACGGTATAGATTCAAAAAACACTCCAATGAGCTGACAAAACAGTGCTATACCTCTGAGGCACAATACCCTCCCAGGTTCTGAGAGATTGACGGAGATGGTCGACCTTGAGTTATTCTTAATTTTAGGAGAATTTTTTTAATTGGCCCTTTATATATAATTTTAAAAAATAATAATTGTTTGGATAAAATCATAACTACCTACCATGCTAATGCCCACATAAATTTTACTTGCATAATCACTAATAATTAAAATTAAATTAATTTACATAAATCAAAAAATAGAATTTAATTTTAATTTGCTCAATTTTAGCCCTAAATTTATAATGTTGTCTCAATTTAATCCAATTGCTATAATTGCTAGTGTTTTTATTATTATTATTATTATTATTGAAAATATACATATGAGTAGCATTTGTTATACTTTTATAAATAAAATTATAAACTTGTTCAACTCAATAAATTAATCTCAACCAACTCAATAACTATTTTCTTTCAAAAATCTTAACCGGCATTATTAATTGGACCAAATTAATAGAAAATTTAAAATTAGGGATAGAAATCAAACTAATTGAAATTACATAAACTAAATTAACACAAGAGACAAAATGCGAGGACTATCGATATAATTTACTATTCTTAAAATATGTCTAATATTGACTGTATCAATATTAAGATATATTTATATCTGAAAAATTATTTAAGACCAAATCAAGCTAGAACCTGAATAAAAAATTAATGACTTATTAAAAATATTTAATAATTATAAATTCAAATTTGATGACTTTTTCATTTAAATTTGCCCATAGAATTAGGTTGTTTGATAATTTTAATTTATAGTTCCAATTTTTCCTTGTATTTTTTTAAAAATATTTTAAAATTATATATAACTATAATCACTTTTGAAATTTTCTTTTCAATCTCAAATTAGTTATGACTTGAATTTGGTTAAAATTTATTTTTCACTTCTCATCTACAAAAACTAACAATAAACATAAATTAAATTTTTGAACATTGTAAAAAAGTAAATAAAGAAATATATCATCAATAATAATAATAATAATAATAATAACAAAGCATATTTTTATTTATCATGTGATGCCTCACCACTGCATTGATAATAGGCATTAATAATAAAATTCATTACGATAATACACAATAATATATCAAATGATAAGTGACATGTGATTACAATAATTTTTGATAATTATACAAAAGTATCCAAAATTATATTAAAAAAATAATATATGATCCATATTCAATTTTTATATGGTAAATTCATACTTAATCTCAATCACACATTAGTTTTCTAAATCAAGTCATCACCCAAACTATCTACTATTATTTTAATATTCACCTTTTCAAAATTCACCCAATCAATGCTCTGGCCAAGCTCATCATCACCTTTGTTGTTGCCATGCTCACCACCTCCACTAACCATTATGCAAATCCGGTCTAATTTTTTATCTTTATAAATATAAAAAGACAATGTTGTGAAAATAAAACTGTACTGTTAGAGTTTTAAAGAATTAAAAATGAAAAATAAAAAAAATGCGTGATTTTAGGTGTTAATTTTATTTTATTTTTAAATCCATAAATTATGGAATAATGTTCATTATTTAAAATTTTATTTATTGATGGGCAAGTCAATTAAATGTTTTTAATTTTCTACAAATAAAAAATTTGAAAATTTTGTTTAAGAAATTTAAAAAATGGCCAATCATAAAGAACAATATAAGAAGCCTTATTCTATAAATAATAATAATAATAATAATAAACTCATAACTATATTATCAATTCACATATATCAAAAGAAGTAATAACAACAATATAAAAAATACACAAATATCCACCAAAAAAAAAAATAGAGAAACATTCAAATCAACTCCCAAAACGAAGATAGTTTACAAATATATATTTATTATCAATTTAGTTGGAAAAAAATACATTGAAAAAAAAAAAGTCATATAGAGGGGGAAAAAAAATACTCACACGAAAATATAAATTTACAAAAAAAAATAAAAAAATACAAGCAAACAAATTTGAAATAAGTTTGGACTATTGGCAAAGAGAGAGAATAACCATTGCATCATTACATTTGGGGAGGAGTTGGCTGGGCTAGAAAAAAGATTAAATATTGAGTATTTTAAAGAGAGAATTGTTTTTAATTTTTAATTTGATTGGGTTTTTAAACTTTTAGATTTATATTATTTCCGGAAAAGGTGAGAGTGAGATGAAAGTGACTTACCATATTATTTTGAATTTTGAAATTCAAGATCGTAGATAATTAGTGTCTATTTTTTTTTTATTTGAATTGTTTTGATCAACATTATTTTTGGAAAGAGTGAGAGTAACTTATTATATTGTTTTAAATTTTAAAATTCAAAATTGTAGATAATTAAAACTTTTTTGGTTTTTGGATTTTTGACATAAGGAGCTAACCAATAGATTTTTTTTTTATTTCTTTAAAAATTAACAAATTAACAAAATTAGTTTGGGAGTCGAGAGCTTCCACAATCATTGTTCTTAAA